AGCCAGCAGCTTGAGCCACTGAGCCATGGTGGATTGAGGCAGACTAGTAGAATATCATCAAGAATCCTCTTATTCCTCAGTAGTGTGAGAATTGTGCACTGATGCGATGTGGCTAGTGTTACCGTATGGACCAGGCAACTACTTGTTAAACATCTTGTTGGACTGTTTTTTTTTATCACCGGTGTTGCCAACAAGCGATATTGCTTATGCCCACTTGTTGGTTCTGCACCAGGTCACCTACATCCGAACCACCTAATTTGGCCGCGCCATGTCTTTTAAACTTGTTAGTCACCTGTCTCGGAGCTCCTTTTTATTCCTGACATGGTACCAGATCGGATGCATCGCCAGACAACACGAGGGAATTGACCGTCAGATTGAATAAAACATCCAGATAAATCACAGCGGTTTAGTTTAGTCGCTAGTTTAGCTGCTGGTAGCCAAAGGGATGAGGCGTCGCCGTTAGGCGCGTACGACCTTGTTGTATCCGTAGCTCGTACTTGACTATTGCTGGTTACGTAGCAACAGAGAGTCGATTTGGCGCACTGTCTTATTGCTGATGTTTTCTTCTTCAGGTTAACCACACTTATACGTTTGCTCTTGTTTCTGGCTTTTTTCTTTATTAAAAATTAATAATGTTTTAGCTATACGCCGTAACGGCGCTTCGCTGCTGCACGACTGCCACCTGTCGCGCGTGGGGTGAGTATCCCGCGAGAACTCCCACTCCTACGCGGATTGGAACCGGTGACTTTATGGTTGCAAACCAGACGCGTAGACCACTCGGCCACCGGCAGACAAGGTGGAACAATATTCCCTTAAGGAAGATTTTGAAAGAGTTACGGATACGGCTGCAGCCTTGTTGCATATCTTTTCCGATAAACTTGCACTCGGTTGTTTGCTCGTATTTTTCTGCTCTTTTCGATTTTTTCTCCTGGTATATCCATGGTGTGAATACTTGCAGCTCGATACCTTGCACCGCTGTTATCGGATCATGGCTTACCAACCAAGATACTTGTTTTCGGTTAGCCTCTTTGGATTTCTTTATTTCTCCTCTCTTCATAGTGTCATACGGTTTGTCGATTCTGTCCATTGAGCTTTGGTGTTTGGATGTTGTTATTCATCGGACTCCCAGCAAACGAGTAATGTCACTTTGTTTGGTTTACATAGGCATATTTCACCTCGAAATAGCGCACTGCACTTTGACCTATGAAGCAAGCACTTCGAACACTTTAGGACACCCTGCATGAGTCATCGATTGCAGCGTTTTCAATATACTCCAACTAAAACTATCATCATCATCATCCTTATACATGTCAGCTAGAGGTGGTGAAACACCTCCGCTATTGTACCGCAAACTAAAATCCTACTGCCTGTGTATATTTTGCACCGCTAATGTCGCAGTTTTTCACGTTATTCCGTCCATGATATCATAAGCGACCCCTCGAAATACTAACCGCAGCTTGAAGTCGGTCCTGTTTTAATGCTGTGTCAGAGACAAATTTGCTTGCATTCTTCCTTGCTCCGTTCAAATGCCAAGGACACGGAAATGGCGATCATTACCAGCGATATGAATGCTCACCAAGGATATCTATCGGATTCAAAATCGAATCCCAAAGACTGTTTGAATTTGACGCTTGCCATGCTGACAGTGACAGCCGATTCCTCCAGCTGTGCTCTATTCACAACATCCATATCAGCAGCATGACTTTCTAGCACGATAGCTCGCACCCAGTTATATGGCGGCCACTGAACAATAGGCTTACCTGAGTTCAGTTTGGCCCCCTTACAATTAGCCATAGATACGTCAGAGCAAGATTCTGAGACGATCGGGAGCATCTGTTTCGAATCTGATCATACATGCCCACCTAACGCTCGATGTTTCTGTTTTGATTGTGTCCAGCTTGAAATGCGTTTACTCGTCAACCGTATTCGTAATATCAGCCTAAGCGGTAGTATCAGCTGTCATTGACTAACGACATGAATACATCGTGTGCGAGTTGGAATCCCCCGAAATGAGCCGTGCAAAAAGCGGTTAAACGTAAGTCATGTTAATAGTTCATGGCTTTTTTTACATATTTGCTTAACTTAACTAAAACCAACAAGCGGGTTCCATTGGGATATCAGTTTCGTGGCACCCGTTGCACTCAGGAACCTCGTCTGACCAAGTACCTGAGCATCAGCCGGGGACAATGATAGATAGCAGGGACCTGTGGAATTGAGTAGATCAACGCCATTGGGAGCACCATAGTGCTTCTCTAAATCATTCGACGCACTGATTGAAATATAGCATCCATGACTGAAACGATGACTTAAATAGATTGACAGCTGATTATCTTTCAGTTATCTCGGCTAGAAGGCTGACCTGGACAGAAATTTAGACATCCGGGGTATCAGATTTGTCTGATGGATCACGTGAAGCCACCTAATCAGCCCACCATCGTTAATGAGGAATCGTGGAGACTAACTTGTGACTATGTTGACAGTTTCGTCCGGCGCTAGGAAATGGCTACCAACCGGCGGGTGTCATCTGTTATTCCCATTTTCGAAACAAGCGAAGGGCTTTCTGTGACAACCACCATGCCATCTGCAACATCTCCGCTGCTCCGAAACTACTCACGTGCGGTGGCCCACTAATCATCTTGAAAGCTGAACGAAACACTGACTTTCGTCCCCATCGGTTTCTCTTCGATAGGTGCTAGGACGTCACCGTGCTTACAGCTAGCTTGTCACGTCACTCATCATCATCATTATACCCGTTAGCTTATATTATTATATCTTGTTATTCAACACCTGCCCAATATACAATTGACAGTGCCACAACACATAGTTAACAACAACAGCAGCAGCAGCAACCACAACAACAACAAGGGGAAAACAGGTAGACGCTGGAAAGGTTTGGTAGGTTTACAAGGTTAATGTGTTGTGTGGGCAGAGATATTCCCGGTTGCCCAGGTCGAGGAAGAGCGTTGACTTAAGGTACCCCACCCCGAGCCTCTGGTCATAAAATCCTGACCCGCAAGGCAGCGGGACGATTAACGGAGACCGTTGACATCCGGGTAGCTCATTCGCCTTCTTTGTGTTCAGTAGCAGTCCACAGAGAAGCCGGTGGCCAGCAAGGTTGTTCATCCACCCTCCGTTAGGTACTCACTTCTGGTTACAGAAGTGAGTGGTCAGTGACCCTATAGCCGGTCACATTGGCTTTGACACAGCGCCGTACGAGCTCTTGTGGTATTTGATGGAGAACCAGGTGACCAGTCCAGAACTCCCCACGCTCTGAGACGCTGCTGCTGATTGTCCGCGACTGCTTATTCATCTCGCCTGCAAGGCAAACGAGACTTATTCGCAGTTACCTCCACAAGGAAGGCATTCCCCGGTCCGCAACCTGGGGACGCGCCCGATAGCGTACAGCTCCGCCACGGGGTGAAAGACGTTTTAGCTATTGACACTCTCTTTGTATTGTCTGATCGTACTTGTTTTAACAATATCTAGCTTTAGAGTGCATGGCGGAGGAATTTCTCAGCCGTTGGTCTGCTTCTTGAGTTTGATTATCATGTTATGAACGACTCATCACCGTTGAAACTGACCTCATCAGTGCAAGGTTATCATTTGTTCCTGGATTTGCGCTGACACTAGGTTACCCCAAAAATGAATAGCTGCAACTGATCTTCCTCTTCTTATATATGCTTCTGGTGTTACCAGCGACCTCTCACTTAGCTGCTCACTTTTACACTTAGTTGGTTTTTATCATTTGCTATTGGCTGAGGGCATGATATCACCATCATCATCAACAGCAGTACATCATGCATTTGAACTGATGCTTCGCTGCCATACACCCATGATGACCTATGAAATAAAGAATAATAAGAGGGAGAGAAGGGGGACTTACCTGAAAACCTCAATGTCCTAAGCAAACATTCGGTATCAAGGCGTCTACACCTTGTGTAGACAACATACCGTCACAAACAGCTGGCTATCATGCAAAGATAAGGGCATGATATCTCGACGTCGGTTTGCTTTGCAAACTTTGGTTTCTCTTGCGAGCGTTTAGCCTATATGTTGGTCTTAAATTGAACGCCCTTGATTTTCCAACTACTGAATTGTTTTCTCTTAGAGTACGGCTTTCATTCCGTTTCATATTTTCCATCTGAGTCGTGGGGACATGCAGGATCAATGCCGATCAGCAGCAAGAATTCGATGAACCCTCATCTTTTCTTGTTTCTCGTTAAGCCATATCCTTACTTTGATCCAATCAAAACCCTGTACAAGTTGACAATTTCCTTACTCTTTTGCTCACACAGTTCTTCATGGTTTTTCGCAACGTACTTTCTATGCGTGCATCTTTTTTCACATTTGGGTTTGCCAGAACTTCTCTCAACAGCGTGCTCCTACCACCAATCCAGATATGTTCTTTATATGTGATAGGGTGACCTTGTCTTTGGTCTAGGTTCGATGTCTTCGGTATTACGGATTAAGCATTCTCGATTGTAACAGCTGGGATATCCGCGTGCACACTTCAATTTTGGCAGTTACCATGAATGATACGATCTGCTGTATCAGTGTCCATAAAGTCAGTTGTTGGTTAGTCGTTCAGCCATTTTGGACTTGATCGAAGGAAGTATGGACGGCATCAGCAGTACATTGCGACCCAGGTACCGACGACTCGCTGTTACACCATCGTCGGAAGTGGGGCGTGAGCCAGCGATACTGCTAGGTCACCCACAAGTGCGCAGGATCAAGCCATTTATCAGACTCCTGAATCACTGGATCACCGACCGAGGATTCACTCGAGAATTCAGTGGGTGCGCCACACATGTGTGTCACCCGCATATGGTTGTAAGGAGGAATATTGCTCACTCTATGTGTGAATTTTATCGGTGTTTCCCTTTCCTATTTTATCCGGCTATTTTTATATGTTTGCGAGCCTTCTTTGCTTCTGAGGTGCAACCACATTTTGATTTTTGAAATGCCACCGCTTATTATCCCTACCGTTTCCCGTTGCATAGGCCTACACCGGTTCCGGTCGGTTCCTTTTCAATTCTCACAAAGGCGGTGAATATCGAATCTGTGTGTCCTCCAACCCTTCATCTTGGTTAGGGAGCAATCATTTGGTGAGTTATTCGCCCATTACATTTTTCTCACATGTTAGCGTGTACACCTGGATCTTTGGACCGCAGACCATACGATTAACTATGGCGAAGTCGCCTCGCACGATCGATTGAATGATCTACAGCTACGTGTGCGACAGCTATCGGACCAGTTGGAATCCATTTCCAAAGATCAAAACTATCAACGAGTGAGTGTTTCGCTTGTGTTCTGTTGGTATGTTTCTAAGGCGTAGCTGAACTGCTAATCAGAATCCGTATCCTATACATATCCGCATTGGACCATTCGTTCATCTTAGCGCGGTCAAAAGGGCGCTACTCTTTTCCACCGGTTCCTTTGTGACATATCTTCCACCCAAGCGAAATCAGAACAGCAGTATGGTAATAGGACAACTTGAGTAACAAGCCTGAAGCCGTACACCACTCATCACATGAAAGCACGTAACAAACTGTTTGCCACGAGATTCACATGAACGCGAGAACGAGTTCCAGTTCGAAGCGAATCAATGGCGGACACTGATTTGTTGTCCCACACACACACAAAAGTGCACGCGCTCCTATGCAGTTGTCTTTCTGGCTGAATAGCGGTGGATTGATATGGCACGACTAATGACCCTATGAACGTTTCGTCTTTTTCAGTCATTTTCAGGCTAAATTATTTATTTGTATTTGTATTTCACTGCTGCTTTTTGTTTTCAAGGCGATGCGTATCTGCTCAGCGGAGATCCTTGCACTTCCGCACTTTCCTGTCGTCTGTTTGTACCAGACCAAATGCCATATCACGTAGGGTGGCAGTTACGGACTTTCGTGTTTACTGCAGATCGTCTTTCCCGCGACATGCTCTTGCTTAGGCCAAACTTAGGACCCAACTTTTGAGCCACCCTTGTTTATTCACCATTTTTGAGCATTGCGGTCACGCTTCTCCTCAGGTGTTTTCATGTTTCCTTGGCTCACACATAGTCAACCTTCAATCTTCGGTGGTGTCGACAATCCTCACTGGAGCGGCACTAACCCAACACCTACTTCGTTTTCACGCAGCGAACTCATCTGTTACTATTCGTTTGTCAATTTTCCCTTCTTATATCTTATCATTCTCTTTTTCATCAGGTTCGTGAGGAATACTTCAGGCAGCTAAGTGAGAGTACCAGTCAACGCGTCACTTTTTGGAGCATTGCACAATTGCTGCTGTTGGCCGCTGTTGGATTTTGGCAAATGCGACATCTGCGTGCTTTCTTCCAAGCGAAAAAACTCGTGTAAACCATTCGCCGCCGTTTTACCTCCTGTGATACGGTCGTCAACCCTTCCAACCACCCTCTCTTCTGTGTCTCGCAACATGCAGCGAATGTTTTCGTTTGGATCGTTATTCTCTAACACTCTACATTGCATCAACCGGTGTGCTTAGTTACGTGTTACTGCAAAGCCATCCTTTCGTCTTATACTCTGATTTTTGTATGCAATCGCATTCATTCCTCAATCCGAAATCCAATGCTGTATGCTGTGCTTCACACGAATACATTTCTCGTCACTCCTCTCTTACTTATCGTTGCTAGTCTGAACTTCTGAGCACTAGTCAATGGCCAGTTTTCTCATCCTCATCGTGGGTAAAGATCACTTCGGTGTGATCATCATCCTCTGCACACCTCAACGCGGAACTGTACTATTCGATTTCAAGAGCGCATTCGACTCTTCGGCATTCCTGCTCGGGAAAGTGTTCCCATCAAATATCTGAGACTTACACACACGTTTTGCTCTGTATACTGTGCTATGGGAGCAAGTGGAAATCAATACGGCTTCATCGGAATTAATCGAAATGTTATAAAAAGTATCTGCCACATGTTGCTACTTCGAGCGTTCCTCAATTTTTTATGTTTCAATTAAAATTGTTCGACTTACGCTTTCACTGGGTTCACAAACGTAAAATTTTGTTTGTGCTGAACTGCAAATCCTATAAAGTTTTGAATTGCTGCACAGATTTGACCCCTACACATTGATCTGGCAGGCTGTACCAAACATTTACCACTTTCCGTTCGAAGCACAGGGAATAGGGAACACACTTTAGATCCGGCACTGTAAGCTTACAGTGCTGTCCGCGTGCGTTGCAATGACGGTCGCAAGTGAGACAGTGGACTCAATACTGGTGTGTAATGTGTGCGGTAAGTCACGATTAGATCGACTCGAAGCCGACGAGTGGACAAGGTGTAGAGGCCCAGTTTCTCACACCGGTCTTCGTAAGGTCTTCTTCGGATACTTGAAATGAGCCTGCAACCGAAGTGTTAGGCACGTTCCACTTTCTGTGCCTCGTCTTGAGTGGACAGTAGGCAGGTAATCCAATATTGCTCATATGATGGAAGATAATAGGCGGGTGGCGACCTCTTCAGACCAAGTCTAGAAGTTGCGTTTAAGCACCCAAAGCACGCACAGTCCATTGCCGAATGCCCTGTTCGCGCGAAAGTGCACCTATGTCCTTCACTGCAAATGTGGGATGTCTGGGTTGACCGTCAATGGTCTAACTGAGTCCATCAACACCCTTCCCGTAGCTCAGGAATACTAGCATGCTTAGGTCGGTCGGGAGGCAGACTTTTGCAGACCACCTAGAGAGACGGTTGCGCTTTTGCTGGAGTAAATTGCAGTCGTCTGTCGATGCTAATCACTCCAGATCTTTAGGTCGTCTGCAAACAGGACACATGGCGACTGGATAAGCTGAGGTAAATCGTTATTGTGGATTAAGAACAAGGTGGGCCCCAGCACCGTGTGTTGGGTACGTCACTACCACCAGTCAGTTAGATGTCTATCGATCTGTACCTTCCGCTTTAGTCCAACAAGAAAATCGCGGGTCCAATGGTGCCATGACCAGTCAACACCGCACACTCAGCTTATGAGGTAGGGCCTCATATTTACCTTGTTGAGCGCTACTGAAATTGGTGTAGGGCACGTCGACGGCAGGTTGTTAACGCATGATTGGTCTAGCATAAAACTATGCTGTGCGGGCTTCAGTAGATCATTTGATTGAGGTAGCTGTTGTAGACCTTTCACGATTTTCACTACAATCTTGGCCGAATTAGGTGTCAGACAAATTGGCCTGTAGTCGTCCATTGTGCTATGGTCTCCGCCTCTTGGAATCAGTTTTAACACTGAACATTTCCAATTGCTCGGCAATGAACATTTGGGACAGTGATCAGCTGAACAAGTCAGTCACGGTAACTGAGCTGATGGCCGATAGCGACTTGCGAATCACTGGGTAGAGTCCGCCAACGTCAGCGGGTTTAGTTGACGAGTAGTTGACACACCTCTTCAACATCTCAAATCAGATTGTTGGGTTCCGTAAGCGCGGTACACTTCGTACTTCATACGGACACCTAGTCATTTGCGAACACAGTACGCCGCCAATACAGGCGCACACTCAGTGCTGAAGGCTAGGGGATATCCATCTGAGTCTTTTAACACTGGTAGATCACCTGCAGGCTTCAGGCGCCACTTCAGATAAACAGAGATTCTCTTCGGAGCGACAGATGCGGCGGTTGCGAACTGCTCTTCAAACTGCATTACACTTGCTCCTTTTTGTATTGTTGCATATAATTCACTGCCTGTTATACACCTCGTAGTCGGAAGAGTCGGAGAAAAGGAATTCGTCCCACAATTTGTACCACCGCCGAGCTATTTTGCCCTAATCCTTGTGGAACCAATCTGTGGTCCGAATTTCGGACACATCAGTTTAGGACACACTCATTTCACTCCCTCATTCATAAAAGTTCAACAGTCTTCCACAGATAAAGCCTGCGGCTGGGATCAATCCAGTTGGCTCGCGGTTCAAGTTAGACCGTGGAAGTCCGTTTTCCACTAGTTGTAGCCTGGCTCCAGCGGACTGGAATACGGTGAAGGTAGATCCATGCGCGCTCTGAGTACTGAATGGTCGCTTGCTGTTAAGGACTCATGGTCTGAATCGTCATACATGTTCACAGCTTGTTAACATCAAGTTTAGGCACCACGGAGTTGAGCGCAGCTTCATGCATGTGGGCTAGCGTATGTGTTGCACTGCCAAGTCCACGTAGCTTTTCTCGACCTCGCAATGTTCCTGCCAACGTACTTGAGGACAACTGAAATCACACACGAACTGTACAGGTCTCGTGAGGGTCTACACAAACTATCGGAAGTCTTTCTGACAATAGACCTTCACTAGCGTCGTCCGGTTTCCCGATTTTTGTTTAATTTTTATTGTGAATTGCATAACATGAGATTCCCTTGTGGAATCTGACGATTTTGGAATCGATGTGCTGTCCGGCAGAAAATTGGTTTATATGGTCATTGTTTTGCTAATTGACAGATGCAGTGCGACAATGGACCCTGCATCAACTCTCAGGAGTAATGCGCTGTTGCTACAAGGCAAACAGCCACTTGATGAACCGGTGATTCTTGACGACGAAAAATGAGGTAGTTGATCAGTTCATCTATTCCCAGCACTTGCATTATTATTATTATTATTATTATTATTATTATTATTCAACACCGGACCACTACAATCAGCAGTGCAACAACAACAAAAGAGGAAAATCAGGTAGCTAATGAAAGGGTTTGGAGGCTTCACAAGGTTAATATGTTGTGCGGGCAGAGATCTTCCCGGTTGCCCAGGCCGAGGAAGAGGGTTGACTTAAGAGACCCTATTCCGAGCCTTTAGTTATAAAACCTGACGCTCAAGTCAGCGGGACGATTAATGGAGACCGTTGACTTCCGAGTAGCTCATTCACCTTCTTTGTGTTCAGTAGCAGTCCACAGCGAAGCCGGTGGTCAACAAGTTTCTTCACTCGCCCTCCGTTAAGTACCTCCAGTTACAGAAGAGATTGGCCAGGCACATTGGCTTTGACACAGCGACGTACGAGCTCTTGTGGTATTTGATGGAGAACCAGGGGACCAGTCAAGTACTCCCCACGCTCTGAGACGCTGCCGCTGATTGTGCGCGACTGCTTACTCATCTCCGTCGCAACGAGACTGGACCTTAACGTGGTGCGACGGTTTTCGTAGCTCCTTGACCCATTGAGCTGCACTGCGTGGTGCCTCCGGGCACCTTGAGAACTACCCCTACCAGGTTGGTCAATGGTGAGAGGTCAGACAAACTCAGTCTCCTGGTCCTCCAGGTTAGGGGTTTGAAATGGGATGGCATCCATTTCTGTAAAAAATAAATCCTTGCCACCTTCCCCCTGCCTTGCGGACAGGCTTTTGTGCCAAAGGCTTTGAATGAGGGTCCTAATCGTCCTCCTGTCTAGATCTGGGGGCCCTGGCAGCATCCCAGCCCACATACAACCATGACTTTCTCTTCCAACATAACCTTCATCCTGCATCGGCCGTCGCGCAGATTATCAAGGGTCGCCTTGTCTGCTGCATACAGCAGGGCGCATAAGCGAAAACATGCCACTGCTGGCGCCTCTCTTCTTTCTTTTCCACCTTTTTCTCTTACTCCCATCCCGACCTCCATTACTAACCTTCTATTTATACTTCCCAGCTTAATTGAGCAACCGAAGTGCCACTGGAGTAGAACCATCCACAGCCACCTTCTCGCGCTACGCACCGGACGTTTATCAGCAACAGTCCCTTATAAGGCCACACTGTTCCGTTTCCACTCAACGTTTGCACTCTAAGACAAACAGGTCAACAGGCTGCACTCGCATGCACCTTGGACACGCTGGGTATTGATGTGTGTTGTGTGTCCGAAACTAGGATCAGTGACCCTAAATTGAATTAACTGCACCCGGCTTGTCCTCACGTTATTGGTAGCACGCATCCGAAGACGCTGATGCAGCACTCACGGGTCAGTCTGTTGTCATCATCATCATCATACACGTTAGCTAGAGGTGGGGAACACCTCAGCTACTGTGCCGCAATACAAAGAGAAAAAAGGAGAGAAAAAAACAACTGGTGCAAGCTGGCTGAGCTACCGGTAACGGATGGGCATCGTTCCGGTAAGCTACCAGCCGGCTGCTGTGCACCCAAAAAGAAAAAAAACTATTATGCAAGATTATATAGAGCTAAATAATGAGATCGTGGTTGGAGGGGGAGGCTAAGAGGGATGGGGTGGGACAAAGAAACTCACAGCACGAACGCCACTGAGGTCGGCTCCTTGCCATATCAGCAAGTGTGTCCAACCAAACGTGTTCATCGTCCTTTGGACCCCAACCAGGGAGCCGAGACGCTCCAACCGAGGCCAGCTCAGAAGTGAGGGCCTTCATTCCTCTGGACCAAGTCATCGCTTGGCCACCCCTCCTCTTCTTCCATCCACACCCCCGGCGCGCAAACAATACACGTCGCGGAAGTCGGTGAGCTGGCATGCGTAACACGTGGCCGAGCCATCGGAGCCTGATGCGTGAAATAACGGTGCTGAGCGGTTCAGTTCCTTTTCCTGTGCCATAAACAAGGCGTCGAACACGCTCGTTGCTCACGCGGTGTTCCCACCAGATGTGAGCTAAATTACGAAGGCACCGGTGGTCGAACGTAACTAGCCTCTTCAGGTCCGCTGCTTTAAGCGGCCAGGTTTCACAACCGTACAGTAGGGTCGAACGTACTGCTGCATTGTACACTCTACCCTTCAGGGCAAGAGTGATGTCGCGCCGGCGCCATAATTGGCGAAGGTTAGCAAAAGCGCCCCGAGCTTTTGCTATACGATTCGTGATTTCATCTTCAATCCCACGGGCGCTGATACAACTTCCCAGGTAGTTGAATTTTTGAACGACTTCTAGCTGATCCCCACCAAGGGTCAGCGTAGGAGGCGGTCCAGACCAATCTTGGAGAAACGCTTTGCACTTCGAGGGTGCGAAGCAAAGCCCAAAGTGACGGACAGCTAGTGCTAATCTGTCCAGTGCCGCTTGG